TTTGTTTTCATATGTATATATATATTTATATATATATAAAAAGGCAAGGTGGGGAGGGGTATCCATTTTAAATAGCCTAACAGCTTCATTTGCTGCACTGCCAAATTAGAACAGAATAAAATAAAGTTAAAAAAAGGGAGGGGGGGATAAAATAAATTATACATAATTTACTAATCTGGGAACAGCTGACCATTATTATTATTATTATTATTATTATTATTATTACCATTACAACACTAGCAAGAAGAGGCAGTTCAACTGAAAAAAAAAAAAACCAAAACCCAACACAGTCATAAAACACAAACAAAAAGAACCCTCTCTGACATGGAGGATATGATCAGCTACTCCAGGCATAACTTCAGAGCAAATCTTCTGAGAGAGAGAAAATAGAACAGATTTTTTTGAGGCAGGGGTGGAAATCAGAAAAGGGAAAACAGGAGAAAAATAAAACGGATGTCGCAGGGTAAAACTATCACACGCCCAAACCGCTCGTCGGAGTATTGTCCTAAGTCTTCAATGGCCTTTGTTTTGCACAAGGTCTGCAGAGGTCAAGTTACACTTCAAGTGGGATCTCAAGAGGCAAAGACAGACATCCCGAATGCTCTTTCCCAGTCCCTCCTTCTACCTGCCCCTTTCATCCAGCACCTGGACTTAAATGGCTGACTGCACCCTGGCCTGAGCTTGCCTGATGAAGGACCATCCGAAATCTTCACGTTGCCAAGCACTGCAGACCACGGTTCTGGTGAACGCTTGGGCGGAGATCTCGCTGGCATGAAGATGTCAGGGCTAAAGCTGATAATGACAGCAATGAGGCTCTCCAGGAGCAGGAGTTTATCAGGGAGCAACATGAATTTAAAGGCGCCATCCTCAGTTAGAAAGATGACTCAGGAAGGCTTTTGCCTCAGTACAATCCTAAGACTTTCCTTTCCAGGCCAGAGAGAAACTCCTGGATAGCTGCTGTTTGATACTGGGGATAGTATTTTTAGTTCATTGGTTGGTTAAGATCTAATGTTTCTATCTTTCTACATGAACCTAGGACCTCTCCTTCTACAGGAGTGAGGAGATAAAGAAAGACTCTTTGTTTCACTTGTATTCACATTCTTATTTCTGAAATAAAGCATAATGTTCAGTTATCTTATTGGAAATACATGAGGCTACCTTCTGCTCAGGGCTACACTTGTGTTAAATCCACCTTCCTCACCTGCCTGCTGTTGCCCAGTGAAAGCAAAACTGCCCAAGAAACATGTCTAAGTGCTTCAGAACAATGCTGGAAATATTTTATCCCAAGAAAACAGTTTTTCACTTTTGAGAGGCAGCAGCTAGGAAAACTAGGCAATGCAAAGGTCAGGGTTCTTACATCCCCACTTTGAATATGGAAATCTCTTCAAAGCTATTAGTCTTCCTTCCTACACAAACATCCCACTGATAAAAAAGGACTTCTGCAAGTGCAAAGGCGAAAAAAATCGTGAGTTCAAAACCAAAAATTGCCTTTTCAATCAGAGACCAGTGCTCAGCCACCCTCAAGGTACAAGTTCATCAACACTGGACATCACGGTGACCTAACTGCACTCAGTGAGGAGGTAACACTTCCACAGTTGCTCTGTCCTGTGCAAGCAACTCACATTTTGGACAAGCCTTTTTTACGTTGTATATGCTGCCACTTGAAGTGTAAATTAAGAGCAAAGGCTCCTTACAGACCAAGTCATTTGGAGGGTGCGGGACTTCATTCTGGAACATGTTTTTGCTCATAATAATCCAATATTATTCTTATTAGTACCATAAACACGCACACATGAAAATCCAAGACCACAAAATATTTTTTTCTCTAAATTTCTTAAGTCTCTCTCTCTCTTTTTTTTCACCTGAGAACGGCACCTACAGTTTCCTTTAAAAAGCAAAACCAAAAATATATGTCTAATCTCACCAGCTGCTGGTATATCAGGTTCTTCACGGGATTGTCTAAGATACAACACTGTCCTAACTTAAGACAGAGCAGGAAGCAAGAGAAAAGCAAAAGAAAAACAAAACAAGAAGAAGAGATCAACCAAAAAGAAAAAAAAAAAAAAGCAAATTGGACTAGTTCAGCGCTTTAATACAAATTTGGCACTTGCTCAATGACTCAGTATGGTGTGCAACTGATGAAGAGAAGTCCTCTCTTGAAAGGAAATAATTGCTTGTTGGGGTTAACAGAAACAGACTCCCCACTTCCTTCCTTGCCAGCCACGCGCACAGGCACACACACACACACACACACACTTCTGACCCAGATTTGCCAGGGAGGAGGAGGAGGAGACAGAGGGGTTATTAAAAGGAATTTTATCTTTTTTTCTTTCCTGTCAGGTGCATTACCAAAAAAAAAAAATTATTTCTCTTTAAACTGTAGCACAAAACAACAAAACACATTCACAAGCCACTTGTTGGCACTGTGTACCTGAGTGAGAATTTCTAGAACATTGTAGAACAAACAGCCATAAAGTTTATTTGAAAAAAAAAATAATAATAATAAAAGGTCGACGGGTAAGACTTCAGTGCTTGGGTATAGCAGCTGAATTACTGGCATTATTTTACCCATAGCTTATATCATTCTGTTGTTGTTGTCGTCGTCGTCTTTGTTTCCTTTCTTCTGAGCCTTTTTTCTTCCGATGCAGGCTGATGTCTATTAGTCAGCTGATGTCCCAACTAGTTAAGACTAACAGTTAAAGTAACAGTCAGTGTATGAGAAAGTTAATGTGCTTGGCCACTGGCAAGGATAAACCAGATGGGGCTTTATTTATTTTTTCTTTTCTCCTTGAAGTCCTGTAGGTCGCGAGACGTTCGGACCCTGATCAGTTGGCTTGCCCCGCAATGTGATTTTCACTGTCACTGCCATAGTCCGCATCAGGGTCGTCCTCTTCCTCATCGTATTCATCGTAGATTTCTCCATTGACATCATCGGTCTGCATCTCCTCCTTGATATGAGGCTCCTCACCTTTGATGCCGTAAGTGCTCTGGATGACGGGCATCCCAGGCTCTGGGCTGCTGGACACGCTCGAGTGCTCGGAGGGCAGATGTGGGGAAGGCATCCCTGCCATGGCGATGGCTCCTGGGTAAACGACGCCCGCGGTGGCAATGGGAATCTGTGCTTGCTGCCTGTCGTGAGGAGAGAGCAAAAGGACGTTTGAATTCCAGAAGGAGTAAAGGGAGGGCGAGTACAACAGCGCTTTGCCAGTGGGCATGCAGAGCGAGGTCCTGAATGGCCCATGCAAGACACCCCTTACATCAGTATTCCCGGCTCAACAACTGATGCTCTTGAAACGAACATCAAACCCAAACCACCTTCACTATGAGAACACCCAGCCTCAGAAAACAACTCTGCCTCTGCCTGAGCTACACAGCTTCAGCTTCAGCCTGTGATGCAAACTTCATCACTGGGTAAACTGGGTGTCCCACGAGCTGCCAGACAAAAATACCCATCCTTTCAACGGTGGGCCAACTTAAAAACCATGTATTTTGAAAGCCTTCCTTTTAAATAATCCAAACTGCTGGCCGGATTAGACATAAAAGGAACACACTGCCAATAGGAGAGATGTGGCAAGGGCTAGGCAGCTTGCACAGGAATGGGAGGTGCCATTGGAAAGCACCATGGGTGAGGAGGAAGCAAGGCAGCTCTCTCCAAAGAGGCAATGTCTACTCCACATTCACCCAGCGACGTGGCCATTACTACAGAGAGGAACAGCGGGCATTCTGCGGCCAGCGTGGGTTTAGAGGATGATCACTAAGGGCCTTCCACTGGAAGGTGATACTTTTGACAGTGAGTGGCACTTTTGAAAAGCAGAACCTTTGAAGGAAGGTGGATAAAGTTGGGAAAAGGCAGACATAAAACGGAAGCATGCATTATTTAAAAATAAATAAAAATCAAGCAAGCAACATGAGCATTTGAGAAAATCCTCTACAGGATGCCTTTATACGGTGCCTAAGCCTTGGAAACCTGTCTGCAGTAATGAAAGAAGAATTATTCCAGGCCATAGAAATTCCCTTTGCATCAAGAACACTAGCTGTGTTATACCAGTGTTTGTTTCCCTGAGAAGCTTCAGGGTCCCAACAAGCCTAGAGGTTTAAAATTCATGCTCCTTTTGTTTCCTTGCTGCATGAAGTAATTCCATTGCAGTAATACTCTTCAGTACATGCTGCACATTGTAATGTCATCAGCGGTGTGTCCATCTGCACTGAAAAGCCTTGCCACAGGAGACAGGGCAGAGTCTCTTGAGATGAACATTCTTAATTAAAAATGAAACCCTCCCCTGTTCTCCTGCCTGCTTGTGCCCTGGCTGTACAGTAAAGCCTTGCACAGTACAGTGATCCTGAAAGACTTTCCTCTGCCAAACAGCTTTACATTTGTTTGGAATTGCTTGCTGCCTTTTCAGACACTTCCTGCCTGCCATCCGAGTGAGGCCTCCCTCCACACAGTCCTTATTTCCATGCCTCTGAAACAAGCAGAAGTTCTCTCAGATGAAGATATGGCCCCTTAAAGTATGGAGTAGATCTAATTTGCATTTTATTCTTAATTCATTAGCAAGGCTTTTGTTTTCTGGAGTCAGCATTTCTGTAACAAGATTCAGCACACTTAAATTGCTTTTAATATTTAACAATAGGACCACTTTGCACTTAAATGGTGCTTTTCAGAGTGCTTTTCAAATATTAAATAATTTAAGAATAGTATTTTTCCACTTCTATAGGATGTCCACTCTGGAGCATCTCACAGCAGTAATCCTGGACACTAATGTATCTCAGATACTAACGTGTTAGGGCTCTCTGCAGTCCAGTGAGGTGAGCTCACCACACTGTCATTAAAGATGAGGACACTGTGACAAGGAAGCATGAAGTCCTAGAACTGCAGAACTGCCCTGTCCTTCCCACTGTGATGCCTTCAGACAGGCTTTCAGCACGTCCCAGCAGCTGGCGTAGCCACAGCTCTTGCAAACCCTATCACTTAATTCTGGTGCCCAGGCAGGAGCTGGACTGGTCTGTAGAAGTTTAGCCCCAAATGCCCTGTAGCAGATGATGAAGCAGAAGGGGAACTAATACCAGGAATGCAGCTGTAGCATCAGTGACAGCCAGCATCAAGCACTGACCCCACTGCAGTCAGTGACTAAGATTTCACCCCAGTTCTGTGCTCTAACGGCCCAGTGCAAATTATCTCCACAAATGTCTTGATCTCAATGTCAGCCTCGTTTGGAAAGCTAAATAATATGCAGAATGTTACAAGGTTAATTTTTTTTCCCATGATGAAACATGCATGTTAACCAGATAAGCAGTGTTTTGGGGGCTCTGTTGCCACCTATTCTTTTTCCAGAAAGCCCCTCTCCTCTTTTTTTAATCTCTTGATGCCAAATGTTGGCTGACTTCCCTGTGTTTGTTTCAATGCTTACCATTGGGATCACTGGACCTGCCAGCACCACAGGGTTAAGCAGCTCAAATTTCTCTGCTGAGCGGCTTATTATAACAATGCACACTGTAGCTGTTTAAAACATAGTCTGATGACTCTTAACAGTTGCTGGACAGATATTCTCTCCTTTATTGCTACTTCTAGTCATTAACTAGAGAGATGTGCAACTCAGTTAATATTAAAATAATTCCAAATTCAGACGAAACCGAACACAAATTCCACTATTTCTGAGGGTTGTTCTTGTTGCTGGTTTTGCTTTTTTTAAGACCGCTTGTGTAGCTTTTAATTTCTGGAGTGAATACAGAAATACTGCAGAATATTTGATTACTTCCGATTATTTTGATCTGCTGTATCCAAAACCAAGGAAGGAAAATACACGCTAGTTTTTTTGGGCAGATTTTAATCTAATCATAGCAAGCTGATCTATTAGCTGTTCATCAGAACCAGTCTCCTTGAAATTTCTGCTCGACACAAAGCATTTAGCTCATGGACTGGAAGCCACTCCCTAGCACGACAAATGCCGTCACGATGAGCAACGCAGACAGCTTCACGCCTGACACAAATTAACTGAGCCAAGTCCATACTCCAGCTCAAGTTCAGTGTGTCCAACAATCCTTTTGCAGCCCACTTGCCACCGATCATGCTGAATGGAAACTTGCATTTTTGGCTTTTGGATCAAGAGGCACTACCATAGATTCATTCAGATAAAATCTCTGAGGCCTCATAATAAAGTAAGACTTATAAGACTTCATTATAAGACTTAGGTTGGATTGGAAAATCTTAAACTTTTTTTTCTTTCTTTTCTACATGATCAGAGTGGAAATGAGACAGCTGGCCAAAGCTGTAAGATGAGTATATAGCAGAGCCAAGAAAAAAAATACCCCTAATTGCCTAACTTCCTCCTGGAACACATTGTTTTAAAGTATAAGCTTCATATTCTGTTGGCAATATACAACGTTCTTGCCAATAAAATATAACATTTACCACACTGAATTAAGAATTCCCCCCGAAAATGTCTTCTGTTGAAACGGGTGGTAGTTTTTAAAGGTCCCATACCCAACATTGAAGTACTGCCTCATCTCCTGGCGTCTGTTGCGCATGATAGCCTTGTACTCGCCGATGCGTAACTTTTTGCCATCTACAAGGCAGGTACGCTTCGGCCTGGGCTTGTATTTGTAGTCTGGGTACTTCTCCAGGTGCTGTTTGCTGAGTCGGGCCTGCTCCTCATAGTATGGCTGCTTCTCTAGGTTTGTCATAGCTTTCCAGCGAGATCCTGAAAAAACAAAAAAACAATGAGAAATGAGACTCTACTCATCCACAAACACTGAAAGCCCAAGAAACAAGTAGGTCATCCAGAATGAGACACCTATGGTCATATTGCTTCCATCTGGGAATCTGTCAGAACTTCTAGACAGGGCTCAGATCTTGTTTGTATTTGAGTGGTAAACCTCTTGGGTATGGCCAAGAGGCAGAGAGAGATGATACTGGAAATTCTGACTCAGTATTTTCCTGACGCTTGTCTACATTATAATGTCTTTCAGGTTGAAAGTAAAACCACCAGGCCATAATCTCTGGATATGCACATGTCCACGGCCTAGTCTTTCAGTACAAATACCATACCTTTCTGGCTTCCAGGTCTGTGAGAAGCAGAACATGACCTGATCATAAATGCTTATGCTTCTAGGTACAGGAGCCTGCAAACACTTTGAAACAATGCCTTTAGAGCTATGAACTATCCCTTGTGTCTCAGTGGGGTTTTAACTCCAAGACCAAGTCCTGGTCAACAGTGACAGTTCCAACTTAAAAGAATTTAGTATGTGTCATGAGGGGAAGAGCACTGGGATGCTGGCACACCTCCCCACTGAGCCCCACTAGTTTCATTGCTAGCAGCCTTGTTTCTGACACTCTGCCTATGTCAGTGTGGATATTTGAGCCAGGGAAATCACAAAGACTTTACAACTGCTAGATACCTCCTGAAATTTATAAACTAGTATTTCATAAAGGCCATAATATGGGAGCAGAAAGTAAAATTTCTTGAATCAGTTATCCTATTTTATTTTTCCATGAACCACAGAAGTGCTTCAGGGCAAGATACATTTCAAATAACAGGAATGGTCCAAGCTGTGAAACATGTGGCCTAGAAGGAAAACTTTATTGGAAAATAGTCAATTTTCCCATTGGAAAAAAAGTTTGAGTAGTTTCTCAATTTAATGGCTTCATAATATCATATGTCATACTCAACTTCCTCTTGTTCTTCGTTTTTTATGGTTACTCACACTGTACTTAGCTCATGCTATTACTCAGTCTGGTCTTAGCTCATGGTACCCCTAAGATTCGCAATATAGAGAGTGCAATTATTCCTTCCTAGGAAAGAAAACAATTTGGCTCCCTCTAGAAAGGCCCCTTCAGATTATGGACACCATTTTCCCCATTGCTCTTTGAATCTTTATTCCAAGCTGCAGTTTGGGTTTCTGGAGTGAAGGGCTAAGAGGCTGGTACAGCCTGACCTCACACCTAGAAATAACCGATTCATAAATAACGGTGTCTTTGTTCTGAAGAGGAGCAATGGACATCTCTTTCTTAGCAAATATTGCTTTGGAGTCAAAAACTGTAATTTTTCACATCTACAACATGTAACGTGCAGAGATCCTCCAGCTAGTTCTGGAATGGGAAACAGTTTAATCACATTTTTATTAGCTTAGATTCAGCACCGCATTAACGTGACTAGATGGTTTCTAGGGCTTGGGCTGTAACTCCTGCACAGCACTTCACACGTCACACAGAGGTAGTGGCTGTGCACAGGGACCCATGGCAGGGCTCTGTGCTACCCCGGTCAGCAAACCTCTGCAGCCAGAATCCTGGTCAGCAGCTTTGTCTCCTGCACAGAAATTATTCCAAGATTTTTTCTGGCAAAGCGAGTGGCTAGAAAAAGTGACACCAACTTTCCACATGTAGTACCTCCTAGATTTTGGGCTAAATGACACAGTGATGAACATCTGGAGACTGCCAAAACACTTAATACCTACTAATGCTGCACAAGATGGAAATGCAGATAGGGCCTGTGCTGCTACAAATTCAGAGTGAAGCATATGAACTCTATTGGAAGATGCCCAGATGTAGGTCTGCTTTCAAACTCTACTTCACAGACACTGGCACACTGGCATTTTAGCATATGGAGAAAAGCATAAAAGTTAGTCTAAATCTAGGGTCCTCTAATCACAGACCTGCTATATTACCAGTGGCTTAGAAAAATAGCTCCAGTCCCATTTCCTGCTTACGAATCAGTTTTCATTTGTGAATAATAAAGCTGAAAACCTCAGTCTTTAAACAAATCATTGAATCATAAAATGGTCTGGGTTGGAAGGGACGTGCTGTGAAGGGACCTGCAATGTAGGAACTCTGATATATTTTGAGCTAGACAGACAGAAAGGTAGAAATTAACACGAGTTGTTGCAAAATTGCCATGAAAACATTCCATTCCAGCACAATTCCTCTTTTGCTGTGCTAGCTCACTTACTGCAATCCTACAGTCAGATATGGGCAGGCAGATTCCTGTATGTTCACACAAAAAGATCTGTAAATAGTAGGTAAAGTTTGGCAAACACGTAAATCTTTGCAGGATCAGGGCCATAAAACTTGAAATCTGATGCACAGTATTTGTACAAACAGTTACACATACCATATTTATCAATAAATGTAATTTGCTATGTTTTTCCTTCCTAAGCTGCAAACTCAATACAACAAAAATCCTGTCAGTCTCACCTCTCTTCCTAGCAAATTTTTAATAGCTGCCTTCTGCAGTGATACCTACTTTTACTATGACTTTACCATTTTTACAAAATATACTAAATACGATGTACAAGCATATTTTGAAGTATTATAAATTAAACAAAAAATGTTGTCAAAATAAAGTCTGAAGAAGCACACATTTTCCGATGGTCAGCCCCTGTTTGTTACATTTTATCTTTCTCATTTATTTTCTTAGTAATATACAAACTCCAACCAGCTCTCTGATTGGTCTTAATCCGAAATTTTGAAAGAATATATAATTCTGACCTTTGAACATGCACCCACAGACAAGCTATGAATGAGTACAGTCAATCAACATACTAAAACTGGTTAAAAATAACCTTGTGTTTGGAGAAGATGTACTTGTAATGGCTTTATTTGCCATTGTTTTACACGTCTATAAACACACAGGCAGGCACTGGTACCTATGCACAGTGCCAAGCCCAAACCCAAACAAGGTGTGATTGAAAAATCTTGAAAAATCTTTATTTTAAGGAAAGATTTACACTTTGGGTGCGCTTTCTCTTTACCATCTGTGTTAGAAAGCCTTGCGTGGGTCAAGTATGCAAGGCTTTTCTCCTTGACTATGACAACAAGAACCCGTTCCCCTCCTTGGCTGCACACATGACAATCAAGATTCTCCCACAATTCTCCCTGCCCTGGTGCCTGAAGTATTTAAAAAAAATAAATGAGAAAATGGTAAGGCTTTGCAGCACCACCCATGGCTCCTGCCCCGAAAGTGGGCTAGGGCAGAGGGAGCTGTGCCCACACAGTGACTGTGAACACGGCTGCAGAGACCAGCTGTTTGCAATGCTGCCTAACTTTTAGTCCATTAGACTGACCTTCTTCTGTCTGAATCTGAAATCAGTCTGATTTTATGTTTAAAAAATATCCCAACATGTACAAACACCTGTCTAATATCTAAGGTATGGGTGTAGGTTTGCATCCACACGCTTACACATCCACTGGAGAATCTCTGAAGGTATTATCTAATTTCATCTTTTCCTAATCTCTTTATGTAGATTTCTCAGCGAAATTAATTAAAATATTTACAAAAATATCTAAACAATGCATTATTAAATTGATAGGGTCCAGCAGACCCATTTTAGCACTTTTTTAACATTTACTAAAAAAAAAAATCATTATCCGCAAGTTTAGGTTGCAATGAACAGATGGATGACAAACGTATGCACAGATGAATTTAGTGACAAATCCATGTATCTAATTTTTATGCTCAAAACATATTACCACAGTGTCAAACATAATCCCTAGAGAATTCTACTGCTAGGAAGGGCACCTCCTCTTATTTTACTATAAAAATGACCCTCGATCGGTGACAACTCCATCTAAGCTACTCCCCATGACAACGAGCTCTCTGACCTCAACATACAGCAGTGCTGCTAAAAAAAAAGGTAAGGAAAAATTGTGGCTTTCTAATAAAGAGACCCTAATACCTAGCTAAAGTGTAAAGCTTCTAGTTGCTCACCCTACGCCAGTAAAGAGGGAGCTCCCTGCTGACTTCAAAAGACCGGCCTTTTGCAACGGAGGGAAAACCTTTGTAATGTTTCTGTCAAGAAAAGAGACACCAGGACATCCCTCTCCATTGCACAGGTGGAATGAAAAAATCAAATGTGATGCTGGAGAGAAATAGAAACATCATCTCTTACTGCCTCAGACCTTGCTTTTCCCCCTATCTGGCAGCAAAACAGAAAGAGTTTGGAGTCAGCTATACTGTCTGTCACCTCAACAGGATCTGTAATGAATTTGCACATTTTACTCCAACTACTGTATATCTAATCAGAAAAAGATGTCCCCGTATCTCCCTGATCTAGCGCCAAATAGTAAAAGGTGATTCCTTATGTTAACAATTTCAGCAGAATGGCTTATTAAAACCAGATTTTAGGGTATTATAAAATGCTTAGAAGCCCTTTAAAATGTCAACCAGGATCCCCAGAGACTGCGTAAAATGTCAACCCAGCTCAAGCGCCTGTTTTAAGCAGAATGAATTAGCAGCGTGCTGTCGGAGGTTGTTATCCAAAACAATCAGTTAAGAGGGAAAACATCAAGCTTTCTTTGTACTTTCTATATGAAAAGGGCCATTCAGAAAGATCTTGTAGATTTCTGAAGCTGATTATTTAAAAACAGGTTTAACCAGGTCTACTCTCAATTTAGAAACAGACCAAAACTATTACTGCCCTGTCCTCAGCCTAATCACATCATACACCTCTGACCAGTATAATCCCTTTTAACCAGTATAAGGTTATTTTACCATCAACATTAACAATTTAGCCTTCTAATCCTGTCCCCATAACTAATTTAATCATCTCGTACCACCCTTTTAATCATGGGTTAATATCATCACATCTGCCATCCACAGCCAATACATTCTGCCTCTCTGACCAATTTATCTCAATCCCACTTGCCCCCTGCTAACTTTTCATAAACCCACTATAATCAAGCTAAACTTCAAACCTCTGACCAGTCTAAGCATTATTTCCTAGCTCTGCAGCTGGTTAATGCTGCTATTACAATTGTGCTACATCTCAAGTTGTCTGCAAAACCAAGGAAACCTGCAGCCCAGGTAAACATGTTTCCTCCTTAAGCTTTTACCCACTGGTCTGAGGGATGCTCAGGTCCTACAACAACACAGTGTTTGCCAGTAAAAATGCAATATCTCAAATTTGGTCACAGATTTTTTTTTTTTTTCTGCAGAACAGTAATTCATTTGCCTCATAGATCCTTGTCATTCACCTGCTGTATCATTCAGCGTGTCACAGAGGCATAACTTAGGACAGAATCTGGTCCTGGGAATTTGAGCAAGTAGTGAAAAGTTGGATGGCTATGGCATAAAATTCAGTAGATGATGTTCATGACAAATACTGCTCGGGATGTGAAGAGCAGAGGATATGGAAGCAAGTTCTGATTTTTTTTTTTTTTTTTTTTTAATTTCAGATTCTTTTCAGAATATTTAGAACAAAAGCAGCTTGTGATACAGACCATGTACAAATGGGAAATTTAATAGAACAGGAACATAATTAAAACCCTTGAAAACTGTCAGTGTATAAAATAAAAGGATGTATTTTAGGATCTTTTCCCTATGGCCATTGATTTGAACAGAAAATGCTATGGCACAAATCAAATACTGTGATGTGCTACCACATAGCATCTAGTTAGATGAAATATGTGGGCAAATAAATGATGACAGTTATTCAACAGCCTCATGAAATGCACTGTTCTAGTCTATTCAGTTCATGTTTTCACGCCAAAACCACCACTGCAGTCTCAGTAACTACAAAGACACAAGAACGTTTCGGTTTATGGTTAACATATACCAGTAGGCAGCACAGTGGAAGCCTGTATCACTGTTGTCCTTGGTGCAGTCATTAAAAAGCAAGCCAGACGTTCTAGAGACAGTAATTCTCTTGTGTCAGGTACTCAGCTCTATTCAGTCAAAAATTTCTTGAGTTGTGCTACTGAAAGAACAGTGCTTTATCATTCTTACCTAGTATCTTGCTGATATTGGAGTTGTGCATGTCAGGGAAGGCTTGAAGGATCTTCCTCCGTTCATCTTTAGCCCACACCATGAATGCATTCATGGGGCGCTTGATGTGGGGCTCATTGCTACCACGCCCTCGGGACTCACGATAGATTCTAGACTCTGAAACGCCTGCACTACCTAAAAAGAAAGAGAAAAACATTCCTAGCTTGTTTTTCATTGTGTACCTTCTTCTGCCATCAGTAACCTACACCAGCTGCTGCACATTCAATGAGTCAGTGTTCACAATAGGCTCATGGAGTTTCTTCTTTTTACTTGAAGCACTATGAACTGCCATATACTGTATATTGCCTAGTTTTTAGTTATTCTGTTGATTCAGTATCACATAGGATAGACTTGATGAAGAGTTTCAGTTGTTTTTTTTTCAACACAAAGCATTAAACAGCTTTTCTAAACCATCTTCTACTACTTAAAACATAAACCAAGCACTTATTAGTGTAGATTTTCTTTCTCCTTCCCTCCTTTCTTGCTTACAGAATGCTGGTGATACCATCTTACTGACCTTCCACCATTTATGTGATGGGAAGGGGGTGATACACAGGACAACATCAAACATTTCTTCTTAAGAAATTCTCTAACTAGTAAACGAACATTTACACATCTGCCTGTTTTTGTGCTTACCTCTCCATACCAACATAAGCAATAGCAGAGAAAGAAAAGAACATTACATTTGCTTTACCAAACCAAGAAAATTCCTACGGATGCAGAGCGTGCAACACCTATGAGGTCTAGCTATAGACCTATCAGGTCTATAACTCATGGACTCACTGTGTGATCTCTTTTATCCCACATCTGTTTGCCTCCTCTATTCGCTTTTACCATCAGAAATACATTTTGAGTCCAGCCCTGAGAACTGCAGTGTCCAGAAGGCCGAAAATCACCTCTAGACTTAAAACACCACACGATGAATCATTTTTCCTGCCTTGTTTCATAGCCATTTATTGCTAACCGCTCTCACCCCTCACAGGCCTCCAAGGCACTTGGATTCTCCTCCAGATCCCGTTGACATGTACACACAAACCTGGAAACAGGGACAAGCCATTTGTACTGACCGTCAGAATCTCCACTCATGTTGAAATCCATCATTGCGTGGCTGAACTTCCCGTCTTCACTCTGTTTCACTGCCAGCTGCTGAGTCAGGGTCTCCAGTGTTGTTTTGTCCTATATGGGTAAGATGACAGGATTTGCATCAGGAAAACAACTAAATGTTGTAACTGCAAAGTTCAGAGGTCATTTTGCAGGTTGATAGGGAAGCTGGATAACGATTCATTCATAGCAGTTTACTGAGCCAGGTATTTAAAAATACGTAATAATATTTTTTCATGAAGGGATACAGTTACAGATTCTACCAAGTCCTTTTTAAAACATGCTTATTAGCTGGTGATGAACAACCTTCATAGTGTTGAAAAGATTGGTTTAGTTAGGCATGATAAAATTGGCTGCACATCTGAAGAATACTTCAACTCTATGTCCCTGGGACTGCAAAGCTGGGCTGGAAGCTTAGATGCTACATGCTCTTTTGCAACATAGGTATTGTTTTACTCTATTTCCAGCCTGCGGTCGAGATGCAGAGACGTGGGTGACTTTGCCCTTTTTCTTTTTTTAAAAGGTAGTATTTTAGAAAGCAGCCCATAGGGGAAAAAAAATCCAAACATAGTTCAAATGTACTCAGGCCTTGGGAAAGGGTCAGCCTGCATCAAGCATGATACTTGGGCAGCAGTTTGTGTTCCTGTCCAGACTGTTTTGCCCAACCCTACTAACACCCCATCCGTCATTCATCTAGTCAGAACTATCTGTGAACCCTGGATTGCAACAGGCTAGTGCGTGCTGCCAATTAATCTGTCAGGCTGCAGCAGTGTCTAAAGACATTGCCAGAACAACATGCCAGGGCCATTAATTCCAATGTTCTCTTCAAAACACCTCGCTTCCCCCTGAATTGTTTCACTTTACAAATACAAAGGTGTTCCATTTTCCAACTGTTTTTGTTTTCCCAGTGACTTCTACTCATAAACTTTCTATCTTCCTGACAATCATATGCTTAAAAATAAATCTTTCAGGAAAGCAATACTAACATTTCAAAATGTTAGGCACTGTGTCTTTTGCAAAGCTAAGAAACTGACATGATAGAGCATGATAATGAAGTGGCACCAGTTGAAAAAACTCTTTTGAGCTTCTCCCTGAAAGATTTCTGGTTTATTGCTATATTCCACTCCTGATGACTGTAAAAGAGCAACATGCTAAAAAAACTTTCAGATTTCGCATGGCAACCAGAGACTTTACAACTATTCCATGTAGCCTAATAATGTCACTGAGTTGTATTATAGAAGAAAACAAAAAAAAAGAGAACAATGTGAATACAGAAATGCTTCTTGCAATGTGATGTTCCTGCATCTGCAATTCAAAGGACAGTTCAAATTCATGAAAGTCATTTCACAATGATTTTCTTGAGAGAGTTAGAAATGAGGCTACTCTGCTGAACTTTGTATGCTTTCACAGTTTGGGGAACATGAGATTAACTTTCCTACTCCTCACATTCATGTTCATTGTGGATCCCTTCTGCACTCCTGGTTCCTGGTGTTCTGTCTATAACCAGACGCATCACCACTGAAGAGTTCAAGATGAAACTCATGCACCAAACTCAGCAAAAAGTGTGGTTTTGGGTTTGTTTTTTTTTTTTTTTTAAAAAAAAGCAAAGGGGTTTCTGCAACACTACCAGGCACAGCAGATCTAGGAAGTTTGGAGAAGCTTCAAATAAGCATCCAAACTATTCAGGCATTAAGCTTTACCAAATTCTTTTATCTACTGGTTTTAACTCAGCTCTTACTTCCAAAGCAGCCTGTCAGTAGACAGTAAGTCAGAAGTAAGTTGACTGTATTTCTTCCAAAAGGATCTCAGCTATATAATGGAAGTCAACAGTTTTCTTCAGAAAAAAAATCTATTTACTGTCAACTTCAAAATAACAGAGTTCAAAATTTTTATGGCAGAAATCATTTACAAGCACTGCCACCAACCTAAAATATAGAACATCTCCTGTTTTCGGGTATGTTATGGGGGAGGGGAGTTACTCTGTTGCAGACTTTTCTTGAATCATGTATAAACCTCTTAGAGAAACAGAGCTGAAAGCGCAAAGGGCACAGGCTTAACAGCTTTTTCTTTATGCAGTAAATGCAGCTGTTGAAGTCAGAGGCAGTTACATTCAGAACTACACTCTGCCAACATGATCTGATTGAGTCTTAAGGTCAACGAATACTCCGGCATGCTGTCTGCAAGGTACACGCCGCGCACGGCTCGTTTATCAGACTTGGACTTAACAAGCCTACAGATGCTCTGCTGCTATCCGTCTTGGGCAAAGTTTTGCATTTTGAGGGGCAGCCACGTTAGATGAAGTGAGAGAGCACAGGTATGACTGAAGAGGGGCTGTGAAGGAATGCCAGATGAGTGCTGAGCTCCTGGGCGGTGCTGCTCAGCCCCGGAGCCTGGAGGTGGCTCTCTGGGCAGCCAGAACCTGGGTGAGCAGGGAGACCACCCTTTCAGAGTGGTGACAGCTGACTCCCTGCTACTTAAACATAGAGAATGACAATGTAATTCAATCAGCAACGATAAGGTGGCAGTTAGAAAGAACTGCTGCATGACATTTCTCTTGGAACAGAGCACATCAGACAGCCAGCTGTACTTCTCTGAGTGAACGTTAAGAAATGTTTGAGTTCAAGAAGTACTTCAGCAAGAAGAATTCTGAGCCCTGCACTTTCCTAAGCCTCTGCAACAACTTGCGGAGAACAGAGATCAGCGATACCCTGGCAGGATGCAAAAGCCTGACTACACATCAGCAGTGTTCTGATTTCCTGTCCTAAGCTCTTCCCATTAAGTACATGGCAGCCAATCTTCCCCAGTCCTGGCACTGGAAACACTTCTACAATTACAAAATATTCAAAAGGAGATAAGCAGCATTTTCATGTTGCTGTACTTGAAAGCATTCAGATGATGCTTTTAGTTTGATGGACACATCTCTTTACCTTTCCTACAAAGTCTTTCAGTTTATGGGACAAGTATTTATGGAAGCTCTGAAGAAACAAAGGGAAAAAAAAAATCTTTTCTTCCCTGACCCCAAATAAACTGGCAACCTGCTGACATTGCTAGCTCAGCCTCCTCTCACAGAACCTGCCTAAGAACTTCAGACAAGAGGTTCACAATGGTTTCAAGTTTATACAAAAAGAGAATCTATTTACCATCATTATCTTAATTCAAGAGCAGGGTACACATTCTTAAAACAGCTGCCCTCTGCTGTGTTGGATTTACTGTGTATAAAGTAGCAAGCTGTGGTACCATCCAGGGATACCAGGTGGAGTACAGGCATGTTGGGTTGAGCAGCACACTTTAATAAAACAATTAAGATACAATTCAGGAGGCAGCAGCACATTCCTACACACCATCTTGGACTATGCCTTAAACTTATTTTATCATTTGATCCGGCTCTACATCTAATTGCCTTGCTGGCCAGAGAAGGAAATTGGGTATAGATTTCAGCTGATGAAATCATACAAGGTTTCAGGTTTTTAAAGGTACAAGAAAATAACTAGAGTGACGATCCCATTGTTTCAGATTTGCTCCACATCCCAAAGGTATAAAAGGCCATTCATTCTATGAGCAATGTACGAGCAACATCAACTACAGCCCAGAACCAACACTGCTGTGAAGAACAGGCAAGGCAGGTCCAAATAATGGGGAAGGGGTGTAAAGAATTCGTTGTGACACCTGATAAAAATCAGTCAGCAAAAGCAGCAAAAAGAAACAGTAAGGAATATTCCTGCTCTTGCAGGAGAAGAAATATAAGGATCTCTTGCTGAAGATTAAGTGGATTCTTAGTTGTTCTAAATTTCTGAATTTTAGATCTGGTGATCTGGCCCCTGAATGGCATAAGACATCTTACAAACATCTTTTTCCTCTATGAATAACTTCAGTAGAGGTCGGGAAAAACTATCCTAATTGTAATTTCTACTGGACTGTAGGAGACACTCTCCATAGAGGCAGTGAGAGCTCTGTTGCCTGGATTGTTTAAAATTGTAATGGGCAAAGCAGAGAAGATAATACTGTAGAGAGCAATCAATACCACAATAGTCCAGTTGTTCAAAGTATAACCAGAGAGGTTTCATCAACAGCCACAACATGAAGTTTGTAAACTTCATTAATCAAAGACAGTAATCTGCTGGAGAAGATTGATTAGTACCACAGCTCTGAGCAATATTCTAATTATATTTAAAAGAACAATGAAAAACACATACACACATGGAATGTGTCATTAGAAAAAAAAATATATAAAAAATGACTAAGCACCGCAAGTCAGACTCAGTTTTGTGGTCAGCTGCAAAAGTTACTTGGCTCTCTGTCATGGATAGCTGTCATAGTTTAACAAAACATTGATCTAAAAATGACAAGAACTTGGTTGCAGTCTCTTTCATAGAAGAAACATAAAACAAGAAGAGTCAAAACATATGTAGAATAGCCTGATAACGTTTGCCAGAACTCCTCCCACTACTACGCAAACACGAAGCAAAACCCTGGAAGGTTGGAGAAATAAAAGACATTCTGATATCTTTGCCTACTCCTCTCTGGCCTCATTGCTCCTGTCTTCTGTTGGACCACGGTACCAGTGCCCAGTGTGCACCTGAAACCAGGCACATGCTCCCACTCCTGAAGGACTCCACAGTTCTTCCAGAATGCTGTGAACGCTGGGCATATGGCAACGGATCCCTCCCCCCTCTCTGAGACATCCTTTTGGCTGGGGGATTTGGCAAACACCGGCAGTACTCTGAACTCCCCTAGAATTGTATTTTGGCAAGAGCTGTTTTTCCGATTGCATAATTCAAGGTTAGCAGTTTTTCTGAAGCAGTCCACTCTTCACTTTTCTACTCCCCTAACCCCCACCCCCATTTCCCCTGATATGAAGATCTTTCCTCTCAGTTTGATGCCTGCAGTGATAGAGACAGTGTAGAATACCAGAGGAGTGTTCAGACACACCTCTTCACATTCTTCTCTTCTAACTCCACGTGAACTGAAAGGCCAGGCAAAAGAAAAAAAAAATGTGTTTGTAGAGGAGGTAGAGAGAGCCAGACATGGCTACCTATGGACTGCAAGAAGAAAACAGCTCATCAGCTCTTGCACCG